TCATAGTTATACATAGTTCTATAGGATTATCGAGTTTGTTAGAGCGAGTTTGTTCGTCAGCAACTGTAAATATAATAACTGTAAAACTTTTGAGAAACAATGTCATATTCGACAACTATATTTCAAGCAGAGTGAGTTCTACAGAGTTGTATTGAGTATTATAAATTTTTATAGAGATTAATATTTTTCAAACTTTCCAGAAACAACTTTATCTTCAACATTATACAAAACACTTCAGAAATTAAACTATTATGATAAATTAAATTAATATTAAATTAAAAACTAAATTTAAGCTAAACTTAAAACAAAATCATAAACGACTAAAACTAGAGCTTTTCAGTCTGTATTTATAGGCTTCTTTCCATACATTCTCATCAGCGTATATGCCAAGTCATTAATTAAGTAATAAAAAACTATGAATACATATTTTAAGACCTCCTTCTAACGCTGTTTGGTTTGAAACGAAAAATCACGCCATAATGCTGTTAGTTTGTAGGAAGTATACAATTTTTGACAATCCTTCTTTAAAACGTGTTTACAAATTGTAGTTAACTAAAAAATCACGCCACGCTCTACAGTTCAACGCCTTAAATTTGTCAAACTCTTTAAATGGACATAGAGGCTGAATTTCGACACGTTGATATTCCAAATACTTTAGAAACTATTGCAAACTCAGCAACTATCTTTCGAAACTTTCAGAAACAATTTTCTTCTCAGCAACATCTCAAACTTTTTACAGATTAAATTCATTTTTAAAATAGATAAATCAGTTTCAAACAAAAAAACTGGAAGTACGAAAGGACGATCAGCCATTGACAAAGTTGAATGCTAAGACACTTACATAAGAACGCTAGAAATTCTGATATCTAAAAATAAGATATAATTCTGGTAACAAAATATTAAAAAACATTATAATTTCAAGTAAAAATTGCTAAACCTTATAAAACTCTTCAAAACTCGATAAAACACTGTAAAACATTGTATAAGTTTATAAAACACTGTAAAATTGAGTTTTACAGCTTCAGTGTTTTACCCTAACCCTTGAGGGTTCTACCCTAACCCTTTGGGGCTTTACAGGGTTAATTGAAATGTACATTTTATAGAATTTCATAGACTTATAAAGAGTTCTATAGGATTTATCGAGTTTGTTAGAGCGAGTTTGTTCGTCAGCATCTGTAAATATCAAACTTTTGAGGAACAATGTCATATTCGACAACTATATTTCAAGCAGAGTGAGTTCTACAAAGTTGTATTGAGTATTATAAATTTTTATAGAGTTTAATATTTTTCAAACTTTCCAGAAACAATTTTATCTTCAACATTATACAAAACACTTCAGAAACTAACTTTGAAACTCTTCAGAAACAATTTTCTCATCAAGCCCTTCAGCAACTATTTTCATTGCAATGATATTTCAATTTCCTTAGGAACAACAGCAAGCGATCTTTCTAAACAATGGTTCACTCGTCAGCAACTGTAAATAAATATCAAACTATTAAGAACAGTGTAATATTCGATAACTATATTTCAAATTCATCAAAAAAAAATTACAACTTCTTTTCTGAAACAATGGCACATTCTTCAGCAACTATCTTTCAAACACTTCACTAACCTTATGAAACTCCATAAGACTCTATTAAAGCTT